TCAAGCATAGGCCGCTTCGTGGAGGGAAAGAGTATAACGAAAAACATACATCTTGCTTAAGAGCTTCTGAGACAATATAACCGAAAGATGGTAGCTCCTAGATGCTTACTGAAAATAGATTTAAGAAAGGCTTATGATTTGGTAAGTTGGGAGTTCCTCGAAGATGTACTTGAGGGGTTGTGTTTTGCAACAAAATTTGTTGAAAGGGTCATGGAATTCGTTACTATACCGACGTATTCTATTGCATTAAATGGGAGTTTTTATGGATTCATTAAGGGAATGAAAGGCCTCGGACAAGGTTATCATGTTTTCCCCTTCTTGTTTGTTTTATGCCTTGAATATTTCTCAAGAATGATCAAAGTTGCCTCCAACAATAGCGAGTTCAATTTCACCCTAAATGTGGCCCCCTAAAGATCACACATTTGGCTTCTAAGAATGACTTGATGCTCTTTGCTAAGGGATATGTTATGTTGGTGCAAATTTTAATGGATTGCCTATCCAAATTTGGAAACACCTCGGGATTAAGAATGAACTCTTTAAATTCCAACTGTATACAACTGGAATTCATAGAGAAGAACTTGAAGAAATCCAAGTATTAACGACCATTCAGAAGGTACTATGTCATTTCTATACTTCGGTATTCCAGTAGCATCCCAGAAACGAGAAGTCAGCTATTATGCCCCATTTCTGGATAAAATCGCAGCATACATTTGTACTTAGACTAGCGATGTGCTTCAAGGAGTTGAGTGTTTGTGGTTATCTATTTTCTCGATTACGACAACAATTACATCGAGAATCATTAACCCATGCCTGAACTTTCTTTGGGGGATCTAAGAAGCCGTTAATTGCTTATAGAGATGTGTACTTACCCAAAAAAAATAAAGTTGGTCTTGGTTTAAAGACATAAAAAGCTGGAATTTAGCATTGCTTGCAAAATCCCATTAGGATGTTGATCAAAAGGACACTATATAGATTCACTTTGACTAAATCATTTCTATCTTCGAGGGACAAGTAGTTGGGAGGTTTTGCCAAGGAAAGATGACTTGTCACTACTCAAAAAAATTATTGCAAATTAGAGACGAACTGAGATAGCTAGATGTGGGTGTTTAGGCAGCAATTGGCAAAATGGATAGTCAGGTAGTGATAATGGCACAAATTGTTAAGTTTTCATCCATTAATTCTAGCATTTTTATAATATATTGATGCCTAAATGCACTAAGCACCCTTATATTTGATTTATATTACAAATAGATGGATACAATGGAATTTCGAGGGGAGGGGGGAGCGAAAGGGGATCAAAATAGAAGCAAGTGAAGTTTAGGGACCAAGTTGTAAATACATCAAAGATGAGACTAGCGATGGAATGATGATTCGAGAAAGCTACGGGTCAATTGGTTGCAATTGGAAGTGAAAAGAAGTAAAATATGACCATAACGTTTCCACAAATCGATTTTGAACCGCATAAGGATATTCTAGATTTTCAGTCGAAGATTGGGATCCATTTTTGACCCAGTAAACAGCCGAGTTGGGAAAGAGTTATTTCTACTAAAATTGTTTGCCAGCTTTCCAATGCACTTTTAATTGCCTCAATCTAATATCAGAAGAGAAAGTTGTGGTCAAAATACTGAAAACTATCCGGCATAAAAAATAGTTAAACTATGTGGTCTCATAGTTCAAAAACCATGCGGTCGCATACAAGGCTCCAAAGAACTTCAGGGCTGAAAATAGTTGCTCTATACGACTGCATGACTTTCTTCAATGCGGTCGCATAATTCAATCCCGAGGCGCGAATTCTAGTTTCTTAATTTGAGTCAAATACTTATAGAAACAAATCTTGTACACAAGATATAAGCTTTAGAACTCGTCCAAAAGATGAGAAAGTCCCCATACACTTTTCTCTTCTCTTGGTGCTCAAGAAACTCCATGAAGAACTAAAATCGAGGTGAAGTTAGAAAGGAACTCATTGGATTTGGTGATTTCACATCTATTATTTCATATATTTTAGTATGTCATTGTTAAACTATTCTTATCTTTAGATTTTCATTCTTATGAATTTATATTGAAATCGGTTTAAAATTTACAAGATTTTCATGGATTCAGTCATGTTTTTTTCATTATTAAATTAAAATATTTGTTGAGTTTCAATTTCACTTACTTATTGTTAAGATCGGTTTAACTTTTATCAAATCCTTTATAGATCTAGGCATGCTCTTTCTATCGAATGATTGAAATAACTGCTAAGTTTAATCTTAATATAACTTTATTGACAGATTAATTACTGCCTTATGCTCGATGTATATAATCGATCTTTGATTTTGTTCCAATAAAAACGTGTGAATATGTTAAGTCTAGATTCTAGGATTACAATTGTGAATTAAATTGATCTTTATTGTTAAATTTTTCGATTAGAGAGTTGGGATGAAAATTCTCTAATTGAGTTATAAAGTGAATAATAGATGTGATTGACCCAATCCAATTGAGGGAATTCCGGTGCTTCGTTATCTCAAAACATTAACCTTAATTTCATTACTTTAACATTGATTTCTCCTACATATTTCAAGAGGACAATAACCTTTTTGGATTCTTTGAGTGATTTTTCCATCTCCATATGGAATTAACACCTCAAAACTGTACTACAACTAACGCATTATTCTTTGGACATAATCAGATAGCAACGAGCAGATTTACGGCCTAGATTACTGGAGAGAATTTTTGAACAACTAAGGCATATGAATACTTTTGACCGAGTAGTAATATGAAAATTTGGGCAAAGGATGTTTGGTCATCATTTGTCACATCGAAACATTCATTTATACTTTGGTGAAATGTCCAATCCAAACTAATCACCAAGGATAAATTAATTTACTTGAATATTGATCGTAATGGTTCTTTATGTGGACAAACATCAAGAACTGGCTAGCACTTGGTCTTTGAATATCTGTGCAGCTCTACCGTGTGGTGGAGGATCCAACAATAGTTAGGCATTAGGCGTGCTATGTCAACATTACCCAGTGCTTTGGTGCGTATTAATAGGAGGCTTGGGGGATATCTTAGCATGGTAAAACCAAGATTGCTCTTACTAGCATCATGGGACGAATAGAAAGATTTTTGAAAACCTTAAACCATGCATTGATAGTATCGTGGGACGAATCAAAACACATGTATACAAAGTCTTGTTTTGTATCCTCATGTTTTGATTCATTTTGAATCTCTAGCTTTGGGTCGTTAGTCTTGGTGGTTTGTAGAGTACTTGTGCATGAATTTTTTATCAATTAAATTTACATTTACTGATTGAAAAAAAAAAGTTGGATAAATCACACAACACACTTTCCACGTGTTTCAATTCTAAAATCAAAATTCTGCACCACGACGTCGTCTTCCTTGGATGCCCCAAAAAAGCACAAAATTTGAGCACCATTTGGTTTGGATAAAAAATTGGGAAAATTGCAGCAGAAACCCCAAACCTATGAAACATTAGTAGACTTTCCTCAAACCTTTTATTTGTTACAACCGTCACCCCTAACTTTTGATTCGTTGTAGCTCTCAACCCTAACGTTTTCAAATATTGCAGGTGAAGCTCTTTTGGACGGTTTCCATCCAAAATCTAGTCAGTTGATCCGAAATTTAACTTTGACCACATTTTTAATATTTTAGAAAGGGACAAAAGAGTGATTTTCGATTTATTCTACTAAAAATAATTAATTTAAAATATAAGAAATAAAAAATAAAAAACACACACTCATATTCTTCATCCACCCCACCCAAACTCAACCCAAAATCCAACCTACCAACACCACCTGATACCGGCCACCATAATCCAACCCATCACAATAACCACCCAACAAGCCGTTTCTCTCAATTTTTTTGACAAATCTTTCACTAGCATGAAACCAATCTCACCCCCACCCCCACCCCCACCCCCACCCCAAACCCAAACCCAAACCCAAACCCAAACCCAAAATCCACACCACCATCGCCATCTCCATCTCCACCTCCACGACCACCTGCTATTGGCCACCATCATCCACCCCATAATAATCGCCATCCAACAACCTCCGCCACCCTACCCTAAAAAATGTAGAATTTCCAATTTCAAATCCCAAAAATCGTGCTTTTATAGTTGAATGAATGGACTGAAGCTATATCTACCATTTCTTTAGATTTTGATAAGTTGATGCTGTTGGTATGGGTACCACTACCCCCCACCACCGCCGCCTCTCCCGATCACAGCATTTTCTCCGACGTTGCCACATTTCAAAATATAATATTTTAGAATATTTTTATATAATATTTATATAATGATATTAGCTCATTGCCAGCTATTAACAGAATATTTGGAAAATGAGGCTAAATTATGGGGTAATTATAGAAGAAAAAACTGCGGTAAATAAGTTTGATTTCTTAGGAAAATGAATGGAGTCTTTGGCAATTTGAATTGTTCCAGATCTGAGATTGACGAGATACAACAAGATTGGTTTTATGTTAGTGAAAGATTTGTCAAAAAAATTGAGAGAAACAACTTGTTGGGTGGTGATTGTGATGGGCTGGATTATGGTGGCCGATATCAAGTGGTTGTGGAGGTGGTGTTGGTAGGGTGGATTTTGGGTTGAGGTTGGGTGGGGGTGGGTGAAGAAGATGAGTGTGTGTTTTTTATTTTTTATTTCTTATATTTTAAATTAATTATTTTTAATAGAATAAATCGAAAATTACTCTTTTGTTCCTGTTTAAAATATTAAAAATGTGGTCAAAGTTAAATTTCTAGTCAACTGACGGAATTTTAGATGGTAACCATCCAAAAGGGCTTCAGTTACAACGTTTGGAAATGTTAGGGGTGATAGCTACAATGAATCAAAGGTTAGAGGTGACGACTGTAACAAATCAAAAATTTGGGAAAAGTCTGCTAATATTTGATAGGTTTGGGGCTTCTGCTACAATTTTCCCTAAAAAATTAGTTAAACAACACTTCGACCACCAATCATACTCTAAAATTTGACAACGAAACCAAACGCCGCCGCCTTCTTCTTCTTCTTCTTCTTAACGCTGACTCTCTCCGGCCGCTCAACAATGGCGGCCGTCAAGCTCAAAGCTTCTAAGCCCGGCCCGAATAAGACAAATTCAAGCACGGGCAGAAAGGTGTGGCTTTATTCTTTACTACTCACACTGCAATACGGAGTTCAACCTCTGATCTCCAGACGTTTCACCAGGTTTTTGTTTTTTTTTCATCATTTTTTTTAATCATCTGCATTTTATTGAAGTGTGTTGTATGCAATTGTTGTTCCTAGTTTTATAAATTGAATGTCATAACTGTGCGCAGCGATTTTATGATTTGTCTGAAATTTTGTTAAAACGAACATAATTAGTACTTGAATTTGAATTATTCAATCGTCAAAATCCGTGGTTATTGAGTGATTGCTGTCATCTTTGGACTGGATGATCGTTTTTATAGCATAATCTTGTTTGCTCAACTAACTTGACAGGTATATCGTGTTTGTCAAGTAAAGATTTTAGACAATTATTTTGGATAGATTTTAGGACCATTAAGATTGGAGAATGAGGAATTAAGTGAAAGTTAAAGAGTTCGGCATGGCCTAGATCAATTTTTTGCATTGTCTTTAATGATAAAATTACAGTTTGAAGCTCTGTTTCATCAAGCCATCTTTATTTTTGGTTGCTTCTCGGTTTCAACTCTCTGAATCATATGAATTTTATGGTTGCCATCAAGGGATCTCGTAAATCATAAAAAATGAGTTTGTATTGGATGAATGGAGCCACAGAATCTGCTTCTTTTGAGAAGATGAGATCTGAAGTTGGATCTTTCTCGGGCCTTTTGTGAGTGGCATTGTTCTATTCCCGATGTCAAGATTATTAGTGCTTCCAAGTTCTAATTTGAAATTTGTTGGGTGTTCTATATTCATAGTTGCTTTAAGTGTCTGTTCAAGTTAATTTTTGATGTATGGAATGATGGGGAAAAAAAAAAACTTGATTATAGAACTCTGATACACTTTATGAATTTCATCTAAGGCATTGGATATGTAAAGTCTGTTATTGATCATATAGGGTTTTAAGTTGTTTCGTAGTTAGGAGTACAGATACTTCTAAATCAATTGTATTATGTCATGTCATGCTTAGTGAGCTGCATGAGTGGCAGACAGTGTTAAAGCAATTATCCAATTCATTTCTAATATTTATTTATTTATTTATTAGTTATCAGTGCACAAGTGTTTCTGATTTTTCTCCAATATATAGACTTGTAAAATTGATGATCAGCAGAACAGAATTCTGGTTGTAAAGGCCTCGAACAAGGTTTTTACTGTATTAACAGGACTAGTTTTAAGCTGAGGTGACCACTTTTTGAACTGTTAGCAGCATGAAAGATTATTGAAAACCCTCACCTAATTTGACTCCTTATCATATCCTTGCCTAATGGCAAGATTGATTGAGCTATGACATTGGAGTAATTGAAACATGCGTGAGTTGATTGGGTGTCTTAGAAGCAGTGTTCAAATTCTTCTCTAAAAAGAAATATTGTATTATATCATGTTCTTTGAATTTATTACTGCAGATTACGAAGAGCTTCACATCACCATTATATATTACATGTTCTATTTTACATGAATACAAATAGCTTATATTAGCAACCACGTGCCTGGATTTAGTATTATCTTTTCATGGATCTTCATTTTATTGAGAGTGATCCTACCTTCTTGTTCGCTTGTAAACTCCGCAATACAGAATATTTAGTCCAAGTAAGAAAAGAATATTTGTCCACACTACTATAAAATTGTTCGCTAAAGCAGGCTTTTTATATTTTCTTCTCCCTGCAGTCAAAAAGTAATCGTGACTTCATCTGTTTTGGCGTGTGAGATGATAAAGGTAATTTTTTTTATTGGGTTATGCTCTTTGTAGATTAATTGTGTACACTCGTGTTGACATTTGATGTGTTGTCAAGAAATAAGTGAATGAAAAAACAGTTTTATTTTTTAAACTGTCAAATGAGATAATGAAACGTGCATGATATAAACAAAGGTGTAGACCATGATGTACACCAATCATGATTATTCTTTATTTACTCCCTTCTTTACCTGTTTTGTATTTGTGACAGATATGAATTCTAGCTTACATAGACTCATCTACATAACAGGTCATTTGTGCCCTCTTTCTCATGGCAAAAGATGGTACTTTGAAAAGGCTATTCAAAGAGTGGACTTTGATTGGCTCTTTGACTGCATCAGGGCTGCCAGCAGCAATCTATGCACTGCAAAACAGCTTGTTGCAGATTGCATATAGAAATCTTGATTCACTCACATTTTCAATGCTGAACCAGACAAAACTAATTTTCACAGCTTTGTTTACTTATTTAATATTAAGGTGCCGGCTCATTTGCACAACTTGCAATTTTTTCCAAATTGTTTGTGAACTAAATATTTGCTCCATATGGAAGCCCCTCACTTGGAAGGCAAGTGCGTAGGTTTGGTCTTCAAAATGTCTTAGGTTTAATTGAGTTTGTCAAGTAGCATAATCAATCTTGGAAATATGGTTGCTGTGGGAATTTGGAGCCATTCAAAACATATTTGTTCAACCTCTGGAACGTTCTTTTCTCCTTGATATGGATTTTTCAGAATATAGACAAAGCCCCTGCTTAGTTCAACTAAAAAACGATAATTAAAATCTAAGTCAAAGTCAACAATTAATTTTAACTCCACATTTCATAGGCAACTTCTATCAAAATCTTTTAAAAATCTAATTTTTTTTATCTAAGCCAAACAACGGCTAAATTTCCCTAGCTTTGTTGTGAGGCGGCATCAGTTAATAAATAGACATTGTGGAACATTTTGTGTTGGATTTCTGTGCCTAGAATTTCTGAAGCCTTCTTGTTTTTCTTCTCTTGGTGCCATCTATAGGCAGAAGCAATCAATTCAACAATATGGGGCGCTTTTAGTATTAATAATTGCTGCCATCCTTCTAAGCATTGGTGAAGGTTCCAGTAAAGCATATAGCACTAGTAATCCAGATATCATATTCCGTGGAATTGTTCCAGTGTTGGTAGCTTCTGTACTTTCTGGCCTGGCTTCTGCATTATGTCAGTGGGCTTCTCAAGTAAGCTAAACATTCTCATAAGTCATATCTTGTTTCTGATTTGAAGCTTTATGCCCTGATTAACCCTTCCCCTTCTTTGTTATTACCATTTTTGTAACGAAGGTTAAGAAACACTCATCTTACTTGATGACTGTGGAAATGTCCGTAATTGGGAGCGTTTGCTTACTGGCTAGTGCTTACAAGTCTCCAGATGGAATAGCTATCAGACAATATGGATTCTTTTACGGATGGACTCCCCTTACATGGGTATTTATTTTTGTTGATAAAAAAACATTTACTGGATAGTGTAAGGTTTTCTAAATCAAAATTATTTTAAACTGCAACATTGCAGGAGTTAGAGACAGAGAATCAAGCTCTTTTTGACTCTTTACTCTTCATCTAATTTTCTTGGGCTTCTTTATGCTAAAGATGAAATTGGCATTTTGCTGCCTAGGGCAGCTGATCTTTTGAAATTAGTTACACTTTTAAGCTGTCATTTTTCTTTATTTATAAATGAGAAAGTGTGAAGAGTCACCTGATTTCAAAACATCATTTTTGTGTGTTCATAAACTATTAAAACTAACTTGGTTGTACATTTCTTATATTGTACACCTTTGATTTTACACTATTGATTTTGGATTTTGTGTTCATTTGTTTTTTTAGATCCCTGTTATACTCAATGCCATTGGTGGGATTCTTGTTGGTCTGGTGACAACTTATGCTGGTGGTGTTCGTAAGGTGAGCATTTTATATGATAGACAATATGAAAGATTTTTCCCATTTGAATTTGACCTGCGTTCTACATGTTTTACAACTCTTTTAAGGTGCAAAGAGAACATTTCAAAATCATCGCCCTGCATTCTGATTTCTTTTTATCCAATATGCCCTTAATATAAAGCTACATTGCACTATGGCCATTTTGAAGAACCTAAAATGCCTGTGCTTGTAAAGTGCAATTAACCTAAGCTGAAACACGAGAATTTTCTATACCATGAAGGAGGTGAGTAGTATCGTAGGGCATGAGAACCATCTGAGCTTAGCACCATCTCAGCTTAACAAATATAAAACTATTCATTGATTTAGACCATGGTAGTATCCCAGTATTATGTAAACTAATCAAAAATCCCACCAGTTTGTCAAGAAAATAAAGAGGTAAGAAATGGAAAAATGAACTATTCAAAGTATTTTTGTTAGTGCCCTGATTTACCTTAATTTTCGTTTTAATTTCTATGCTCCTGTAGCACTATTTAGTAAGGTGGACTGAATGATAATACTAGCAAATATTAATGATATGTTTGGTAGTGCTTATAAGTTTTTGGTCTTATGAATATGTGGATAGTAAGTTGTAGGTCCCACAAATGTGTGGATAAAGTTTATTTACCAAACGTGCACCTAGAAATTTAAATCTAGTGTATTGTAGTATTCCGTGTTGTCTAATATTGTTTACCAAACACGAGCCTGATTGTTTCCTCAACGTGTATGCAGGGATTTGTCATTGTCTCTGCACTTCTCATAACTGCTCTCTTACAATTCATTTTCGATGGGAAACCACCTTCCCCATATTGTCTCGTGGCTCTTCCAATGGTGTTCACTAGCATTTCAATTTATCAGAAGTATCCATATAAGCTAAAAAAGAAGGAATCTTGATTTGGGAACGTTCAGAGCCAGAAAATTCTGTAAATTTACGCATTTTGGTGCATTATTTGATTGAATTAACTCGTACCAGCATCAGTAGGCTGGTAGAATAGCTGATTTGTAATGGAGCTTCTTTCCATTATAATTCAATATACCAAAATGTAAGGACTTTTGACTGGTTAATGTGACAAATCTCAAACGCCAAATCTGGTTCTTCTGTTTGTCCAGACATGTTTTGCTCAATGGTTTGCTTATAAGTAAATAAGTAAGTTTAAGTTCATATGACGCAGGTCATTTGATTAATGAAAAACTGTTGAGAAATTGAAAATATAACACGTTGTGGTCCACATATTATATACACTAGGAGCTTAAACGACATTAAATTTGTAGGAATTTTGTATAGGAAGCCTACCCAATTAAGGCGACAAGTTGACAAATTAGGTCAAACAACCCAAAACTTGATACCAAATACATGATGTTTAAAAGTTATTTATATTGTCAAAAATATGATTTTAACTAGAATAATTTTGAAGACGATAAGCTCCAATTCTTTCAACCTTTGTAAAATAATATATAAATGAGAACTAATTTGTGTCAATGAGTTCGTACATGGTAATAGTTTTGGCTACCCCATTCGTGAACATAATACCTTCCGCTAAAAAAAATAAATAAAAAATAATAATAAAATCTTATTGATAGAAATGAAGATAATAATGTCACGACTTATGAAGTTCCAATTCAAGTCGAAACAGTACAACTGAGATTAACACGCCAATCATACTTTGATAACGATAAGGTGAAGATTAGCCTCGATGAGTCCATGGTTTGGGAGTCATGTTTGGCTCAATAGTTTGCTTACAAGTAAGTTTAAATTCATATGTTGCAAGTCATTTGATTAATGAAAAACTATGAGAAATTGAAAATATAACACGATGACGCTCCAATGTTCGTTGTTGGCTAGGCTCGACTTGAACCACCAGGCTTACCAAAAAATGAGATTCTTGACCAGCTTTCTTTCGGCTTTATCCCACCATCCCCCCCCCCCCCCCCCCCCCCCCCCCCCCCCCCCCCA